TGTTTGAGTATTAATCCTTGCAAGGATTGTTTAAATCATTCAAATCATTTCCCATCATCTCTTCAAGCATTAAATCAATCCTAAATATGGCAAATATTGTTTGAGGACAACAGTATTGTCATCAAGTTTTTGGTGGAATTTTTCAAGTTTAATTTCTTGGTTTCAAGGTTGTTATTTGTTGCTGCATATTTTGGTAAGATTCTTCTCCAACACGGTGGTGTCTCCAACAGTACTAGTACTAGCCCCTATTTCATTGTCATTATTTGCAAAAATAAAGTTTTGAATAGTAAATTTTTGGAGAATATATGATTGAAAAAGAAGGAATTTTTTTTTATTTACTTTTAAAAAAATTTATTGTGTTAATATGTTGTTGAAAATGAATATATAGAATAAAGATTTTGAAATAATTGTTGTCAAACAGTGGCTACTCTACCTCTGAATATATATATCCAAGTACGACATGTAACAGTAACATAATATTTGACATAATGGTTAATATAATATCCCATGACATTTATCATTGGATTGTTTTGAACATAATTAACTTTTTCATTCAATCACATTTTGCCAATTAAAATTAAGTCACTCCATCTGTGAATTATTTTATGTCAAATTGACATAACCCTCATGGTCTTAATCTCAGGTTGTGATTGAAGAAAGCAAGACTTTGAATGATGTAATGTCTTATCAGTTTCATTGCAACTGTTAGTGCGGTTTCCTATTTGAAGCAATAAAAACCAATGGTCCTTCTACCACAAAAGTAAAAAATTGTAGAAAATTAATGATCCATACGTAGTTCCGCGAAAGAGTTCGAAAATTCATGAATATTCGGACTGTTTGCGCAATACCTCAATGCATTTGCCTCTTATTGGTGAAATAAAAACTTTTTTGGGCTAAAAATCTCATTGGCTAGTTTATATTTTACGTTGTAATTTGAAAAAATTTCGACTATTCATAGTACTTTCAATAAATATTATTATTATTATTATTATTATTATTATTCGATCCGTCACTCATTATCCCTTGATTTGAAATTAACAATTTTGATGGCACGACTTAAAGTTGTTAAGAAACGAGGCCATATAGATTTTAGGATTATTCTAGTGGTACATCACCCCTTACACAAGGGTGTTCATACTGGACACCCGGCATCTCCTCATTGGAAGGAGTGCCGACCCCATCGACCCTCCCTCTAATGAGGAGGCGCCGGGTGTCCATTATGGACACCCCGATGTAAGAGGTGATGTACCTCTAGCATCTCCCTAGATTTTTTACCCGGCCTCAATTTACCAAGTTGTAAATAGTTCTTCCTTTCAACTGCGTGGGAGTGGGGTGGCAATGGGATGAGTTTGGTTTCACTAGCCTCAATAAGTTTTGCTCATATTTAGTTTAGTTAAAAATTAATTTTTAATATATTTTAATAAAAATTGATAAAATATATGATTGAAAATAAATTTTAAATGGTAAACTTTATTTACAAATCTACTATAGTCAAATAAAGCCTACAGACGTTTAATATTTGTATGACATTATCATTCGTACTCATTTAATTATTGGTTTGCAACAATCTTTTGATTACTGGCACATTTCTTTTTAGGGACAATTACAGTTAAGGTACCAAACTTTTCATTTAGTAACAGACTTAATTCAAACTTTTCTTTTGTATCACCGTAGATACCAAACCTTTAAAAAATTCGGAGATCAAGTCCAAATTGACAAAATTCGCTAGTAAGACGGTCAGTTGACCCAAAAATGAATTTTTTTTAATAATTTTAACAAAATATGATAAGGACATTTTATTCAAAATACATTTCCTCACTAGAAAATTATTCTTCTCCTCTCCCACTCCTTCCCTCATCTCCCCTCCATCACATAAATCAAATCAAAGTACACCCATCGTGCCGCCGCGGTGGCTGCACCCATCCGCCAATAACCATTTGGTCAAGATTTCTAAGAAGAACAATTTTTTAAAAGGGTAAATGTGTTTTGACCGAAATAGTCTCTTCTTATTTTGTCAAGATTGTAAATTTTTCATTTCTTAGTCAATTGACGGCCTCACTAACAATTTTCGTCAATTTGGACTTGTTCTACAAATTTTTCTATAGGTCCAAACTTACGATGCCACAAATGAAAAGTTTAGTTTAAGTCTACTACAAAATAAAATGTCTGATACCTTAACTGCAATTCTCCCTTCTTTTTATGTAAATACATTCCACCGACGGAACCATTCAATATCACATGCAATTCACATTCGCTAGACCCATCATTCATGAATCACGACCAAATAGCCTTTAAACTCTTTGCCCATACTTTTAAGAGAAATTACTAATTTTTGTTAATCTACAGCAAGACATTTAAAACTAAAATTGAAGTACGTAACAGAATTTATTAATTATTTTATCTATTTTTGTTCAATTTAACAAGTCGACCATTGAATGATCGAATTATACAAAAGAATTTATTTAAACAAATTCGAATCAGCTAATCAATTATTCATAGGGGTCGGCAATGTGTCGGGTCGGGTTTGGCCTCAAACCCGACCCGACCTGACCTGGCTCCTATCCTAAACTAAGTCGGTCATGTCCTTTTTTCTTATTTTTTTTTTTTTTAATTCCTCTGATTCCATAGAAAAATCCATGTTTCCAAAACAAATTAACAAAGGAAAATGAAACAAAATATGTATCATTCATTGCACCAAACAAAAGCCATTAAAAATGTAAAACAAAAACCCATGTGCCCAAAACGCGTACAGCAGCATGCAATGCCATAACCATCAGCTGAAAGGGCTATTTGTTCAATACAGAGTAAAAATTCAAGGGCTAAATAATGCAATAGACATACTACAGTAGTATTGGTTCAAAAGAACTTTCTCCCACAGAATGCTAGCCGAAAAGCCCTTTGTCTCTCCTTCATACTCAGCCCCTATTTGTAACTGATGAGTTTTTGCTTGTTCGTGGGGTGGACATGAATCACGAGGAAGAGGAAGGCTATGCAGGAGAATAAGTCAAGGATAAGCGTAAGGATAAAGGTCAATGGAGCAGGAGAGTATGGAGATGAAGATCAAAAGGCCTTGATTTTGGAGAAATTAAGAATTTTGTTGGGACTTAAGAGCTTCCACATGAAAACACCAACAAATGCTTACTCATCGACACTGGCACTAGCCCTGGGATCTTCCATGGAACTTAACATTGCGACTGATGCTCTGGCTCCTGGTTTCACCGACAAAAAGAGATCGAAGAGGACCATCCACAATTATTTTATATTTATTTTACCCGACACAACCCGAATTTATCCCTAAACCAGCCCAACCCAACCCGTTTGGGGTCGGGTCGGGTCGGTTTTCGGGCTGTGATTTTCAAACATAGTCCTAATTATTCATGCGAACTCTTTTGATATACTCCAGCTAAGTACCTAAAATTCAAAAATAGAACAAAATTATTCAATATTTACTTGACTAGGTAGTTGTCAATTTTTTAATCAATCAAAATGCATAATTATTCATTCTTATCAAAATATGTACCTAAAATTGCAATAGCAAAACTAACTTTACGACGGATTCTACTTTAAAAAAGCAGGTGAAATAATGCTTGGTATTTCTAAAATTCATTGGATTATACTAGTTTAAATTTTCGAGATGTTAAAATATACGAAGTAGATCCGGCTCAACTCATGCTATCAATTCGATCGGTTATCATAAATGGTTATCATAAATAGCTGATCTATGCTGTGCTCAACTGTTGAGGTTCATAAAAAGTGACCTATAAAATTTTGTAAAAGTCCGTAAGCCTACCGACCTAACATGTGATCGCGCCTGATTTAGAATTTGTTGAGTGATACATTTACAAAATTGACTTGTAAACCTTGCCGCTTCAAAATCAAGTCGAGCTGGTTAGTACCTCTATATTAGACGACTTGTTTGGTAAAGCGTTTGGTAAAGCAATAGTAGATAGTTAAGTAAAGAAAATAAATTTTATCCATGGTACTGATTATTTGTCATGTGAATTTCTTCTCAAAAGTATAAAGATAAAAGGTGGTTATGTTAAGGTGGGAACCTTTTCTTTTTACAATCTTCCTTTTAAGGATCTCTCCTTGTTAACACGGATAAACAACAGTTTCTTACCTCAGAACTCGTTGTTTAAACCTTATTATGTCCTCACAGCTCTTTACAGAACTGCACTCTACACACACATAAATAAAGTGATGCGTGTTGGGTAGAGAGAGAGAGAGAGAGAGAGAATGGGATTCACAGCAAAGGCTAAGAACAGTGAAGGCTGGGGAATGGGGTTCCTCTTGGTTTTCTTTCCTGAAGAAGATCATCAAGACACAAATAAGAAGAACAATTCAATCAACGCTAATCTCTTATCTTCATCTTCACCTTCTTTCAAGCCCTTAAGCACACTGCTCAGACGCACAAATTCAGCTCATCTACTACACAAAGCACAGTCCACAATTTCTATATGTGCACTTCTTTTATTTATAACTCTACTTCTCTTCACTATCTCCACTTTGCCCTCTACCACCACTGCCGCCCCTAGAGCCCGCCACAACTACGGTTTTCCTGGAAGACAGCTCTCTTTAGTGATGAAAAATCCCTCTTCAGCTTCGGGTTTATTGTCAAGAAATCAATTATCGCATGCATTGCAAGGGATGGGCACTCTGTATAGGAGAGGCACAAGGGCAATGAGTGACCTCATTGTAGCACACGCAGTTGAGTCACTCACTTCGCATGAATTGAAATTGTTTCTCAGGCTCTTGTACAGGTCCAGTCTTACCTCAAGATCAGACCTTGTATTCATATTTCGATCAAAATCACCTGATTTTGATCATACAATTCTTCAAGAGAATGACTCGTTCTTGAAACTCGTTACTCAGTATGCGAAAATGAATCGCTCGACTCACTCGGTGGCGAGTTTTGACGTGGCCCACTTCTTGAAAATGAGCAAGAAGGAGAGGGACAGCGGAGAGCCAATCTGGGGTCGAAGAATCCGAAGCAATTTTAGCGAGGAAGGAAAGACTGAGTCAACTCCTCTGAGCTATGGGTCAGTATTGAGTTTTGACATGGAAGAGCTTGACCAGGAGAACTCATT